TGGGAAACAGGCATAACACAAGGCAGTGGCAGAGTGAGGATGCGAAGCCCCACCTGCACAGTTCCCGGCACGTGGCTCGCCTCCCTCCTTGCTCCGTGGCCTCAATCTCAGTGGCCTGAATCTCCTTCGGTGGCCAGGCAGGGGGGTTGGATAGTTTCCATCCACAGGAGAGGGAGGTGGGGCAATGGGATGGAAAAGCAGCATCTCTTTTGCAGCCAGGCTTGGCTTCAGAATGCTGAGTGGAAGAAGGATGGCAAATAAAACTCGATTGACCACCTACTATGTGCCAAGAATTCAGCTTTCCATTTCTCAGCCAGCCCCTATGTTATGAAGAAACCCAAGCCGAGAGGCCCAAGGTTACGTTCTATTAAGACTCAGCGCCATTCCCTCAGTCCTCAATGTCCAGTCATTACCCACCCCCGCCCTGTAGGAATCCCCTTCAGAACTACGCCTGCATCTAAACCTGGCTTCACCTGGATGCCAGCACTCAGGGGACATACCTTGTTCTGTGCCCAGCGATGGCTCCTGCTTGCCCAGGGCTTGGTGCATCTGTCTGTGTACAGGAGACAGTGCTGCCTGCCTGGCCCTCCGCACGGGGCTTTGCAATTTAAACGGAAGTGTCATATTCACTCCACATAATGGGCCTCTGGAGTGGGCACCGCCACAGTCAATTTACAATAAAGAAAAACAAGCCCAGAGAGAGGAGAAGATTTGCTTTAGATACATCACAAGCAAGAGGCGGAGGTGAGCTTAACCCACGTGAGACCCCACTCCCTTCTGGTCCAGGGCATGTCGGCTCTGCTGTAAAATGGGAAGGGAAAGTGGTCAAATCCTCATGAAGCCCCTACTGTGTGCCTTCGGCCCCCTTCCCTCTTGGACTGTGGTACATCTTCCCAATTGCTCAGAGGTGGGTGCAAGTTTTCCCATTTCACAGATGGGGAAGCATGGATGGGAGAAGGCATGTGGCCTGCTTAATGTCACATATCTAGGGCAGGAGAGCGCTCAAGGTTTGAATCCAGGACTCTTCACTTTGCCCCTTGCTTGCTCAGGTCTAGAAAGATCCAGAAACTCCATGTGAATGTGGGGGTCCCTCCCCAGCAGGCCTTGGATGTCAGGGAAAGTCAGTCACAGGCTGGCACCTCCTCCTTGCCTAAATGGACCTCCAGATCTAGGGATGCGAATCAGAGCCCCCTCACTCTGCCGGACTGTCCCATTGCCAGGACACCCCAGCATGTTTCAAAAAAAAGTCCCCATCTGGTTCTGATTCATTTATACTTAATTAATCAAAATGTTGTTTTGTAAGAGACACTTGAGATCCAAGAATCTTTCTCAAGTCTTTTATTTCATTCTTTCTTAGAAACAGAAAAATTGGGCTTCATTAAGAAGCAGTTACGCCGGAGCCTGAGGAAGGATGGGTCTGTGGGAACCAGGCCTCAAGGGGGCTCAGACAGGGCAGATGCCAGCCCAGCAGATCATTCCTCGGGATCGTGCAGACCTGGCCAAACGCTAAGGCCAAAGACTCAGGCACCGGGGAGACTGGAAAAAGGTGGCAAAGGGTCATCCCTCCGTGTTGGCCGTTCCCCAAGGACAGGCCCAGGGCTGCTCACCTGGGTATCTCCAAGGTCCCCGACACAGAACCTGGCACAGAGGCTGCCCTGTGAAACTTGTTAAATGAGCAAGTAAATGAATAAATGAATGAAGTACTGCCAACAGCCAGGTGTTTTCAGGACACATTCTCCTGCCAAAGTTAGATAAGGTCAAAGTTGGTAGGACCCTCAGGGATTGTGTACAGAATTTTCCAAGCAGATGCCTTATGAGAAATGGTCTCTGATGTGTAATATATTTGGGAAAGGTCACTCTCTCGCTTTCCTTTTTTTTTTTTTTTTTTTTTTGAGACAGCGTCTGTTCTGTCACCCAGGCTGGGGTGCAGTGGCACAATTACAGCTCGCTGCAGCCTTGATGTCCTTCCTGGATTGAAGTGATCCTCCCACCTCGGCTTCCTAAGTAGCTGGGACTACAGGTGTGTACCACCACCACCATGCCTGGCTATTTTTTGTATTTTTTATAGAGACAAAAAATGTATTTTTTGTAGAGTTTTGCCATGCTGCCCAGGCTGGTCTCGAACTCCTGGGCTCAAGCTATCCTCCCATCTTGGCCTCCCAAAGTGCCGGGATTATAGGCTTGAGCCATCACACCTGGGTTACACTGTCTATCTCCACCTCTTCAGCATGCTCTAATAAGTCTCACCGCCAAGAAATCTGCTAAACCCAGCATTTCCCAATCTATTTGACCAGAACTCCTGTAGCTGCCTTGCAAAAGATGCTACAGGAAGGGTTTATCTAGCTCTGGTCCCCACTCCAGTGCCAATGGGCAACTGAGGCTATGGGTGGGGGACGGAGAAAATCTACTCACCCAAGGTCACATGACACAACTGGGTCAGGGGTGTGACTGAAATCCAAGGCTATCTCCGTCGTATCCAACAAATAAAAGGAGCCCTAAGCCTCTTCTGAAGATGCTAGGCAGGTGTGTGTCCCAGAGGCAAGAGATCAGGTACTGGAGGAGGGATGCCGAGAGCCCCTCACCAAATTGCAGCCATATCCCTACCTCCTCACTGAGCTCCTGGGGAGGTGGTGGTGAGCTGTAGATGGGGTGGGGGGCAAAAGGGGCAGGATAGAAATTTATCATTTTTCTTTTCTTTTCTTTTCTTTTTTTTTGGTCTTTTTTGAGATGAGAAGCATCTTAAAGTCTTCTAAACCAGCTCTTTTTTTTTTCTTTTTTGTTGTTGTCATTGTTGTTGTTGAGACAGAGTCTCACTCTGACACCCAGGCTATAGTGCAGTGGCAAGATTTTGGCTCACTGCGACCTCTGCCACCTGGGTTCAAGCGATTCTCCTGCCTCAGCCTCCCAAGTAGCTGGAATTACAGGCGCCCGCCACCACACCCAGCTAATCTTTGTATTTTTAGTAGAGACAGGGTTTCACCTTGTTAGCCAGGCTGGTCTCAAACTTCTGACCTCAAGTGATCTGCCTGCCTTGGCTTCCTGAAGTGCTGGTATTACAGGCATGAGCCACCACACCTGGCCTAAACCAGCTCCTCTTTAGATGAGGAAACTGAGGCTCTGAGAAGGGAAGACCAGCACACCTCAGAAGATATCTTCTCAGCATTATGTCAGGCAGATTGGGATTCGAGCCTGCTTTGCTACTCACCTGCTGTGCAACCTTGGACAAGTCAGTTTCCTTCTCTGAACCTCAGTTCCCTCATCCAGAAAACAAGCGTCTCTCCCCTCCCTCCACTAGGCCATTGTGAGTAGCCAAGGACACAGTGGACAGGAAATGAGAATGATTAATACTTACCAGCACCCGTTAGGAGCTACTCATTTCCCATACACACTCAGTCTTGCCCACAATCGTCCTTATGAGCAGGATACTTAAGTAAAAGATGGGTTAATGAAGGGAAAGGGGGTTTGTTTGATTTTTTGGTATTGTTTAGAATGGAGAAGGATCTCAGATATCTTCTAAAGGACCCTCAGATGGGTAAAGTGAGAATTGGAGACGCAAAGTGACTTATCCAAGGTCACTCAGTTGGTAAATGGCGAAGCTGGGATTTGAACTCAGTTGACCTGGCTCCAGAGCCCATGCCCCTAACTACTAAACAAAGGCCATTCACAAAGGAGTGTCCCCATAGAGTCCCAAACTCACCCCAGCTCAGCTGAAAACCACATGCCTCTCCATTCCCTTGTCCCACTGTCACAGCAAGAACTGGAGCCTCTTGGGCCACAGTCTCCCTGACCCCATCCAATCCCACCTCCCAATTCTCCTACAGCCTCTGTCTGCTTTCTGCTCTGTTTCAGGAGTGACTGTCACTGTAGAGCTTTCACACAAATGGAAGGCCCCAGAGGGCAAGCCATTCTCTCTCATTTTCTCTCCCCTTTATCCTTGCTCACACCCAATGCCAAGGCTGGAAAGAGAGAAGACACCAGCTGGACAATTCAGCAGTTATTTAAACCAGTCTGAGCCTTGGAATCCCAGGCTTTATTAAAACTGGATGACCCCTGTGTCATGAGGATATAGTTGGGATTTGATGAGCTAGGACATGAAAAACCCCTGGCACAGTGGCTGGCATTCGGCTGCTGATCTTAAGAGTGGCACCTGGAGGCCAAAGGGCTGCCCAGCTCAGGCAGGCGATTTGCTCATTTGCTCACCTGCTTACCCTTCTCTGAGGCACAGTCTCTACCAATTCCTGCTCTGCAGGGACAGCCTCCAACCCACCTTCTGAGGATGTTCTGACCCTCACAGCGAGGCTGTGGCATAGGACTCCCAGGTGAGAGTGCATGGGGCCCCTGGTACATTTGTGATCTGAACCTTGGCTCATCTTCCTAGCGGCCTGGGAGGTCAAGATGGAAAAACTAAGGCTCTCTGAGGGGCTGGACTTCTTCTAGGCCAGCCCCTATTAGAATAAATGAACCTGAACTCAGGTCTCAGGTCTGGCTGAACTCAACAGAGGGGGCCACGGAGGATCACTGCCCTCTGGGAGGTGACACCAGGAGTCAGGGTGAGTGATGAGGCTGGGACTGGGGCCTCTGGACTCCCAGCCCAGGGCTCTCAATGTCACTTCCTGGCCCAGTGTGGATGCTTGGGATGACTTCTAAGCCACTGAGTCTGTCTCCTAGTCCCTGTGCCCCCCAGTCTGGCTCTTGAGGCTTCTGTCTCTGCACGGAGCCGTCCTCCTTTCTGCCAACCATGTGGCTACTACAGAGAGCCCTGCTACCCTCTACCTTCTGGGAGAGTCTCCTTGGCCCACCCTGGCTCAATGGCTTGCTCACTGGGTGCCCTGGGCCTTAGTCTCCCCATTTAAAGTGAGGCTGAGACTCATCTGGAGGAGCGAATGATCCAGGGCGCCAGGCACCAGGCAGATGCCCCCTAAGCCGCCACCCCCGGCCTCCCGGCCCCCGGTCTGCCCAGCAGCGCCTGCCCGGCCGCCCTGTCCTGTCACCCCCCGTACCTTGCTTCTTCCTTCGGTTCTGGGCGAGCATGTCCACGGCGTGGGCGACGAGCAGGAGCAGGCAGAGTGGCGCCCGCATCTGGGCAGCCTGGTCCGGGCTGGCACTCCCCGGGCGGCCCGACGGCCCGGCGGCGGCGCGGAGGGCGCGGGGGCTGCTGTGGGCGCGCCGGGCGCATCCGCTAGTCGCGGGTCAGTACGGACGCCAGGGACCCGCGGTCCGCCCAGAGGCCAGCAGCCAGGTCGAGTGAGGGCGTTGGCGGAGCAGGGGCACTGCCCTGGCGGGGAGGAGCCGGCGCGGCGGGGGCGGCGCGTTAACCAACTCGGGGCCCGGGAGCGCGGGGGGAGGGGCCGGGGGTCGCCCGGGTCAGGGTGCTCGAGTTCGATCTGTCCCGCAGCGCGCGGTCTCGCGTCTTTCCCGCCCCCGGCACTGCCCCAGAGCACGTGTACATGCCCACTGCCAGGCACAGGTACGCAAGCGCGCGCAGGTACAGATGCACGGACACCCGGAGACCCTTACGGTCTCCCGCGCCCTCTCCGCGTCTGTGGTTTTCTTTCCCTGCCCCCAGCCCCCTTTCTCTGTTTGTTCCTCCCTCTAGCCCTTAAGGACCACTCCTTGGCTCCTGCTTTCTCGGTCTTTCCGCGGCCCGCGCTCCCCCGCTCTGCCCCGGACCCTGCCTGGCTGTTCCTGCATCCTTTACTCTTGCTGATGGTCTCTCTCTCAGGCTCACTGTCTCCTCCTAGCTGGGCCTCTGGTTCTCCCTTTTCTCTGTCTCTCCCTTCAACCCCATCTCTCCCCTTCTCTCCTCCTGCAGGGTGGGGTGTTTGCGGGGCTCCTGCTGCCTGGTTTTCTCTTTTTCTCTCTACCCTGTCTCATTCTTTTAACAGAGTCCTGAGCCCCTTCTGGCCACTAACCCTGAATGTTTCCTGCGCAGCCTGCGGGGATCATCTACTCTGACTCAAAGTGACCAGCACCTCATAAATCCGCTTGTGACAGGGCTGGAGACCTGGACTGTGTTTCCTCCAACCTTATCACCAGGACTGGGAGCAGCTGATTCGAGTTTAACCCTTTCAAAGCAAATTCCTCCTTCAACCCAACAGCACGCTTACCTCTCCTGTCACTATACCCACCAAAAACAACAACAATAATGCCAGCTGTCATTTGTGAGGCATATATGGTGGGCATTGCTAAGAACTTTACATATAATAGAGTCTTCAAAACAACCCAATGGGTTGGGTTTCTATTCTGAGTAACCCCACTTTTCTGGGGAGCAAAGGGAAGCTCAGAGAGGCCAAGTGACTTGCCCCAAGGCCACACAGCAGGTCAGTGGCCATTCTGGTCCAGTGCCTGTCCCTCTTAGCCACTTCTCAGGCACAGACTCATCAGAATGGAAGGGGCCTTGCGGAGGCCCCAGAAAGGAGGCCCAGCAGAGCTTACATTTGACACTCTCTTGCTGAACAGTTGTCCTTCCTTTTTTCTTTTCTTTCTTTGTTTCTTTCTTTCTTTCTTTAGATGGATTTTTCACTCTGTCACCCAGGCTGGAGTGCAATGGCATGATCTCAGCTCACTGCAACCTCCGCCTCCTGGGTTCAAGCGATTCTCCTGCCTCAGCCTCCCAAGTAGCTGGGATTACAGGCGCCTGTCACCACACCCAGCTACTTTTTGTAGTTTTTAGTAGAGACAGGGTTTCACCATGTTAGACAGGCTGATCTCAAACTCCTGACCTCAAGTGATCTGCCTCCCTCAGCCTCCCAAAGTGCTGGGAGTACAGGCGTGAGCCACCCTGCACAGCCTGTCCTCTTTTTTACTACGTGTGAAGTTTGCCCCAAAAGAAATGGAAGGTAAATGCTGGTACCTCCTCTAGCTCCTTCTCCCAGTGCAATGAGGGACACTTGAAGGCATAGCAGGGGCAGGAGAAACACACAGAGAGTGTGGCAGCTGAAGGTACAGCCCTGGCCTGGCCATTCTTTCTGTGGGGCTCCGAGAACACTGGCAGACAACATGGAGATCTTGGTGGAATGTCAGAATCAGCCCACCCAAACTGCTCCGTTTCACAGATGAGGCCACTGAGGCTTCAGGACTGGGGGTGCCTAGATTAGGCCACCCAGTGAGTCAAGGACAGAGCTGACATGGGCATCCAGGTATCCCATTGTGGTCACCACCATGGCCTGCAAGGCCCTCTTGTTCTGATATCTCTGATCTCAATCTTTCCTACTGCCCCACCCCTCTCTCTTTAGCCTTAGAGATTTCAACTCTTGATTATTTCACAAACACCACAGGCCTCTCACACCTCTGAGCTTTTCATATTGTGGGGCATCTCCATGGAATACCGTCCTATATCCTACCTCCTTCTTCGCTGCCTCTGCTCCAGGAAGCCTTCCCTGATTCTCAGGCCAGGTCCAGTGCTTCCTCTGGGCATCCACAATCCCTTTATCACAGCTCTGATCACATCAGGTGGTAACAGTGGATGTGTCTGTTCTTCCCTCTAAACTGTCATCTCTTTCAAGCCAGAGCCAGACACACAGCGGTGCTCAGAATGTTTGCATAATGAATGCATAAATAAATGAATGGTGAATGAATGAATTCTCCAGATGCACAAGTCTCCCAGCCTGTACATGGAATGCAGGTACTTGGAGAAACGAGGTGACCCCTGAAGATCAAGCTGTAGGAAAGTGGAGGTCATCCTCTGCCCCACTACCCCCAGTACTAGAGCCTCCAAAGTCCAAAGGGGACAGCTTCCATATGAGCAGGGCCAGAGAGGACCCATGTGCATTGTGAATTGACAGCCAGCCACATGGCTCTGCAGGACGAAGCTGCTCACCCCTTTTGAATTTCTTCCCCTATTCATTCCCCACTGCCTTCGCTCTAGCTAGCCTCATGTTTCTCAGACTTTTGTCACTCATCCTGCGGTTTTTGCCGTTCTCTCTGCCTGGAAAATCTTGCCCCAGATATGCTTGGGGCTTGTTTCCCCTCGATGTTGCCTCCTCAGAGAGGCCCCCTGTGACCACTCCAGTAAAACGGACCACCATTCACTTTATAAACTCTTGTCTTGCTTTACCTTCCATAGTACCTGTTCATGTCTATCAGTTCCTGTTTGCTTGTTTGTGAGTTCCATGAGGACAGGAATCTATTTTGTCCCTATGTGCCCTATACTGCAGTGATTAAGACATACTTGTGGAACGGATTTTTTAAAAAAATGAATGAATGAATAAGCACTCATTCATCCATAGATTCATTGCGGGGCCTCAAGTACTTTCTGCTCTCTTAGGCTCAGTTTCTCCAGTTGTTCAATGGCACAGATAGGATTTTGTGTTCTGTGAGAGCCCCTTTAGTGCTTCCAGAATCGGATATTTCTAGGGTTCTAAGGCCCAGAACTCAGGGCCCTTTCTTGCCCTGAGATGCTCAAAGGGTGTTTGGTTCTCTTTAACTATGGGGGCTGTCTGAGCATCTCAGGCTGTTATCCAGTTCCCCAATACAGGTGCCCAGGGAGGCTAGCGATGCTGATGGCATGCTCCAGGGGGTATGCACCCAAGGGGTGTCAGTTAAGGCACCATTGTCACAAATAGATGAAGACAGCTATAATGGCTGAAACACACTAAGCTCATAGCATGTGTTCCTGATCAGCAGATCCTTCTCTGTGGGATAGCAGGAGCTCAGATTCCTTTCAGCTTGTGTTCTGCCCTGTTCAGTACCTGGTTTAAAGCTCATCAAGAAGGGGCAGGGCTTATGGGAAGTACAGAGACTGTCTACCCATGTCCCATTGACCAGAACTCAGACACATGGCCACACCTACCTGCAAGGGTGGCTGGGAAATGTACTCCAACCATGTGCTAGACAACACACAGGAGGAAAAGCAAGAGTTTGGTGAACACCTGGCCCATTGACCAACGTTGGGCCACCCTCATTTCTTGCCCTAGTCATGCAGTAGCTCCTTCCTGTGTCTGCTCTGACCCCTACAAGCTCTTCTTCTTAAGCAGCCAGAGGACTTGTATCATGCACTGGGTGAAGCCCAAATTTCTCCTCAGAGATGCAAGGGCTGCCTGATGGCCCCTACTAGGGGTCACCCTAGCAGCCCTTGCATCTGCTAGGGTGACCAACTGTCTGGTTTGCCAGGGATGGAGGGGCTTCCTAGGATGCAACATTGACCTGTGTGTAGCCTTGTAGAACAAAACCACAATCAAGATACTTAAATGTAACATCATCACGAAACTCCTTCATGCTATCCATTTATGGCTCTGCCCTCCCTCTCCACTTCCAGTCCTAACCCCTAGCAACCTCTAAGCTGTTCTCCATCTCTGCAATTTTTATTTTTTTGAGACAGGATCTTGCTGTGTCACCCAGGCTGGAGTGCAGTGGCACGATCACGGCTCACTGCAGCCTCGATCTCCTGGGCTAATGCTATCCTCCTGCCTCAGCTGAGTAGCCTGGACTACAGGTGTGTGCCACCATACCTGGCTAATTTTTTACTTTTTGTAGAGGTGAGGTTTCGCCATTTTTCCCAGGCTGGTCTTGAACTGCTGGGCTCCGGTGATCCTTCCACCTTGGCTTCCCAAAGTGCTGGGATTATAGGAGTGAATCACCACACCTGGCCTCCCATCTCTATAATTGTTTTCACATAAAGATTGTATAATGGAATCATGCAGTATGTGTCTTTTTGAGACTGGCTTTCTTCACTCAGCACAATCTGCGTGGAGATTCATTTTAGTTTTGCATGTATTAGTTATTTGCTTTTTACTGCTGAGTAGTATTCCGCAGTATGAATGTAATATAGTTTGTTTAGCCATTCACCCACTGAAGGACATTTGGGTATTTTCCAGTTTTTCATTATTAAGAGTAAAGGTGCCATGCTCACTTGGGTATAGGTTTTTGTGTATCCTTTTTGGTGAAATGTCTGTGCATATCTTTCACACATTTTAAATTGGATTTTTAAATCACTATTGTGTTTTAAGAGTTCTGTGTATATTCTAGATAGTAGTTCTTTGTTGGTTACGTGATTTGCAAAGTGTGAGGTTTATGTCAAGGTTCATTTTGTATTTTTGTTTATGTTTTTTATGTTTATGTTTGTTTATGTTCATTTTTAATTTTTGTTTATTAAGAGGT